TAATAATAATAAAATATAAGATAAGATATAAGATTAAGATATAAAATATAAAAGATATGATATAAAATTAATATAATTATTAATTTATTTTTTATTTATTAATTATTCTTTTAATTCTTCTAATCCTCTTTTAAATTTTCTTCTTCTCCAGAAAACAAGATATGAAAATGATATTTTTTTATGGTAGCTTTCTCACAAGAAACATACATAAATACAAATGTCACACGAGATTGGCTGTCAGATAAAAAAATTTTCGGGACTTAAAAAATTCTCTATTTGACAGCCAATTGCAATTGGCTATAGAGAATTTTTAAAGTCACGAAAATTTTTCTCTTTGACAGCCAATCGTATGACACTGCGTTTCTTGTTGAAAAACTCCCAATGTCAACGACCGCGTGGTGGCGTCTGATCGCGCGCGAACGCGCACGACCACGTGACTCGCCGGGTGGGGCGGCGATTGGTCGGCCGTGCGACATTTAAACCGGCGAGCCGTTGCGTGTCTTCCGCGACAAGAAGCAAAACAGCAGTTCGAACAGAAGTTCGGCGAACGGCGAATTCTGCGGTACCTGAGTGGCGGGGGCGCGCGTACACGACTATCCGAATCCTTTTCTTGTAATCCCGGTCGCCGACGCTACGAGATAGAGAAGCTGCACAGATAACGAAAGCTACGGGGCTTTGGCTCTATTTTGAACCGCTGCCGCAAATTTACGCCGCCGGTCGCGCGAACCCAACGTGACGAACGGTTGCGATTACGTGTAGTACGAGAACGCGAGATTTATTTGTCGGCGCGCGATGTCGAAGGAGGACGAGTGCACGATACCTAATGTGATATACGATGCCAACACCGGCAAGAGTTACATGAAGGGCCGCTTCTTCGGCAAGGTAAGCGAACCATCTCCTCGAAGCCCTCGTCTTTTGTCACGCACGATTTTCGCACGCTCCCTTCTATGGATTCGCATCTACACGTCATGCTCCCTCGTGGCGAGCGACACTTGTCGCATTCGTCGTGTCGAGGGGAGCGCATGTAATTCGCGGATCGAAAAAATCGCGACGAGAGAAATTGTATATTTTTGCCCTTTTCGAATAATCGAGGCAATATTTGAGATGAAAATACTATTTCGAAAATCACGATAAAATTTGTCATTGAGACTTGCTTAAAAGTTTGTCATCGTGTAAAATCACGTTCTTTTTAGTTTCGTCATTTTTTTTTCCCCTTTTTCGATTACGAATCTGACACACCTCTTGCATTTTTTTCGTGGACGATATGTTGTTGTAAACGAGGGACTTTAGAATCACCGTGACCCATAAGTTTATCGTCGCTATTTTGATATCGGTGCTTTACTATTTTTTTTTTTTAATTATAATACACGACATATATTAAATGCAGCAATATATTATTTTATTATTTTGAAATATATCAATGTCTTTGTTGAAATATCTAAATGTCAAAATATAAAAAAATCTGAATGTTAACATTTAATTCAATTTTCTCTGTTACAGTGACTAGTTTTTTTTTTAATTGTTATAAGTTGCATATATAAAATACATACGAAACTTACTTTATATTAGATACGTTTAACTGAAGCGTGGACTAAAGTCATTGTTCTATAAAAGTCTCAGTCTACGTTTCAATTGAATGTATTTAATAATTAAAATTTTTTTGTTAAAATTTTATTATGTTCTTTCAACAATAAGGTTTTCTTTTATTACAATTATTTTTGTTCTGTTATCCTTATATTCATTAGGGTGGCTTTGCAAAATGTTACGAGATCACAGAATCAAAGTCACATCAAGTGTTTGCCGGAAAAATTGTGCCAAAGTCATTGATGATAAAAAGCAATCAGAGAGAGAAGATGACGCAAGAGATAGCAATTCATCAAACCTTGAATCACAGACATATTGTTGGTTTTCATGGTTTCTTTGACGATTCCCATAATATCTATATTATCTTGGAACTCTGTCGCAAGAGGGTAAGTATTTTTTGCAACAATTATTTTTTACGAGTATCAATTGTCAATTATAATCATTCTATGAATATTTAACGTTCTAGTCAATGATGGAGTTGCACAAACGCAGGAAAGCATTGTCAGAATGTGAAACACGATACTTTATGAAGCAAATCTTGGATGGAGTCTTTTACTTACATCAACACAGAATAATTCACAGAGACTTAAAATTAGGCAATTTATTCTTGAACGACGAGTTACAAGTTAAGATTGGTGATTTTGGATTAGCGACCAGATTGGAACATGATGGTGAACGGAAAAAGTAATTGTTACTCGAATATGCAACATATTCATATAGAAATTTGATTCATGTACATTCTCTAAATGATAATATTATATCATCTCTTCTAAAATTTAATTTTTCAGAGTTGAATAAACATTCATAAATTAAATTTCAACATATTTTAATAAAATTTTTAGTCTATCAAAAATAAGGCTTAGTTTTTTTTTAATTACAATGATTTGACTGAATTTTTCGACAGAACTGTCTGTGGCACTCCAAATTACATAGCGCCGGAAGTGCTGACGAAGATCGGACATTCCTACGAGGCTGACATATGGAGCATTGGTTGCATAATGTATACTCTGCTTGTGGGTAAGCCACCCTTTGAGACGTCGAGTCTAAAAGAGACGTATTCGAGGATTAAGCAGGTGCAGTACAAAACGCCACAACATATCACTAAGCCTGCCATGAACATGGTAGCAAATATGTTGCAATTAAATCCATCGAGACGCCCGTCTGTCACCAAACTGTTGAAAGATACTTTCTTCACTTCTGGTACGCCCAATATTTCGTAAAATGTGAAGTTGTGCAATATTTACTTTTGTCATAAAGCAATTATACAAATTCTCTGAAAACTTTTTAATGTAATAATTAGTAAATTAATTTTATTTGTTTATTAATTTGCTATAATTTTTCAGATGTCTATAATTTAAGTTTTTTTTTATTTACTTTGAATATTTCTTAATCGTACTTTATCTCAACAATCAGTGATATAAATGTTTAAGAACTAATTAATCGTTTCTTTTTTTTCTTATTACACAATTTTATATTGAAAAGAATATCCTTTTTGTTCTATTAATAAGCCAAAGGATAAAAAATTACGCTTTTTTTCTTTTTTATTTTCTACTTGTTTTTTTAATAATCGCAGGATATATGCCGACAAGTTTGCCGCTTTCTTGCTTGACAATGGCACCGCGTTTAGACATGCTTGAGTCACATTGCAATCGCAAACCGCTCGGAGAGATGAATCTTAATGGCTACTCAGAGCAGGAAATCCTTGCCTCTCGGGTGCCAAACAGCCCGTTGCGAAAAGCCAAGCTTAGTACCGAAATTATAGAACCGCAAAGAGTCAATCACGATATCAAAAAGTTGCTCTACACATTAAAAGAACAATTGGCTGCAGTGCTGAAATTTAAGTCTTCTAAAGATGTAACTTCTTCAGGAGGTATGTTAATAAAAAAATTATCTGTAAATTTAATATCTTTTAATAGGATAGATTTTTTTTTTAATAAGACAATTTTTAGTACCTTCAGAAAATATTTTTAGATATTTTTTTTTATTATAATTTTAAGTTGCACATAATAATCGATTATATAAATATAACTACAATGCTATTGTTATATTCGATATGCCATTATAAAGATATGTTTTTCGGAAAATTCGCAGACGAGATGACCGATCCGGCGGCGCAACCTGTGGTCTGGATCAGTAAATGGGTAGATTACTCGGATAAATACGGCTTCGGATATCAATTGTCCGATGATGGCGTTGGCGTGATGTACAATGATGGCACACGATTGATTATGCTAGCGAATGGCTTCAATATTCACTATATTAATCGTGAAGGTGATGAATTGTACTACACAGTCAAGGAATATCCTGCCAATCTCGAAAAGAAGATGAAACTGATGAACTTCTTTTTGAAATACATGAACGAGCATTTGATGAAAGCGGGTGGCTCTATTGCGGTGAAGCAGAGTGATTCTCTATCTAGAATACCCTACATACACCAATGGTTCAGAACTCAATCGGCTGTCGTGATGCAATTGACTAATGGCACAGTGCAAGTGAGTATTAAAATAATTGAACATATCTCTATAACCTTATTATCTTGCAAATACTGCATATTTGAAAATTAGGTGTATGTGTGTGTTTTTATCTCATATATATATATTTCTTATACTTTAACTTTTTCTAAACTATTTTCTTAATATTTCCTTTTTTATTTAACGACATCTAGTATGTTAATTTGTATTTTCTTTGCATTATTTTATTATTTATATTTTATTTATATTATATTATTTATTTTATTATTTATATTCTATTATTTATTCTAATATACGTGAACTTTTAATAATAAGGAAGCATAATATATGACTTCACTTAGAGATAATTTTATTATTATGTCAAAACTGTTATAATATTTTTTGCACCGGAATATTTGCTTCTCAGGTCAACTTTATGGATCACACAAAGATCATTATGTGCCCCCTGATGGCGGCAGTCACCTACATTGATCACGACAAGAATTTCAGGACTTATAGATTCCAGACTATTCAGGAGAACGGTTGCTCTAAAGGATTAGCGAAGAATTTGATGTATGCGTACGAGAAGATTGGATTGATGCTGGCAAATCCTCAGGCCCGATAAAGATTATCCATGCTAAGAGAAAATGAGAAAGATAAAAGAGAGAAAAGAAATATTGGATGCTGCGCTTCTCTCCTGGTACTGTAAACCATCTTTAGAAAGACAACACTTATATTTATTTTCTGATAGTGCTATCTTTGTAGTGAAAAAAAAAACTGGCAAGTCGGAGGTTACAGTTGTATATGATTCTTCCTCTATCTTCACTCGATTTTTGTACAGACATATAGAGAATTTCGCTAGGCGAATTTTTTTACTTTTCTTTACCACTTAGTACAAAAAGAGAGAGAGAGAGAAAGAGGGAGAAGAGCCGATCGCGTTCAACGAAGGCGAGATACTTCGCGACATGATCTTCAGTCCATTTCCATCCTATGCTTCAATATGCCGTTTCTCATAAACATTACTTAGAATAAATTGATCAGTTGTTATCGGGTCTTCTCTGTTCATGTTTCTAAATATAATATTGATATCGTAATTGCTAACATTAAAATTAACTTCAACATTTAAAATCCTAAAGAAAAACTCCTTCACTCTTATATTCCTATTATTCTCCTGTCTAATTTCTTATTCCCTCTAAATTATTGTTTCCTGTGCTAGTTGCTTGGGATACTGTGAGAGACTTCTTGTCTTCGTTGATCCGCAACGACTGCCCAAAAGGTATTCTGCTCTGACTTTACAAGTAAATCGTCTTCTATCCTATGTTGTGTCCATTGCAAAAAAAAAAAAAAAAAAAAAAAAAGAAAGAAAGAAAGAAAAAAAGAAAAGAAAAAAAAAGAAAAAGCGGAAGGGCGAGGATTGTCATGATTCAACGGAGTAGTGCAATCTAATGTGATTTCGTTCTCACAGCTGAGATGAGAGACGAAATTTCGCAGAAGCTAGTCTTCTGACTAATGATTCACTAGCTCAAAGTTTCTCACTCGAACTTGTTCAAAGCAATGCGACTACAAATGTTAATATCTCTAAACGACAACTCTGATAACAAAAGTTTATTCGAGAAGAGACTTATTGCAGAACTTTATAATGACTTATATATGTTTAAGGTTTTAACAAAAAAATGAGAAAATATTTTGTCTCAAATAAATGAATATCAGAAAGATAAATAAATTTCAAAACAATTCTTTTTTTAGTAAAATGTTCAGTTTTTTATTTAAGTTGTGTGTTTTTTCCAAAGCAAAAGTATTATAAGATATAATTTTCTAAAATAAAAGAGATCTGTATGTTTCGTTTCGTATATGAGAACGATAATACTATAACATCATGAAAAAAATATATATATACATATATATATCTAAATATACTATTAAGATCTATTTAATATCTAAAATATTTTTCTTGAAAAAATTATTTTTTTTATTTTTCTTAAAAACGAAACATACAAATCTCCTTTATTTTGAAAAATTGTAGTATCTCGTTTTAAAGACAATACACACACTTAAATAGCTTAAATTAAAAATTGGATATTTTGCAGGAAGGAGAATACTTTTGAAATTTAGTTTATAGATGAAAATGCAAGGATAATATAAAAAAGATAAATTGTGACGTAATACTGTTAACTTATAAAAAATTTGATTATAAATAAATAAAATTGAATATTGAATGCAGATTATAGATAAAATTCATCAAACCTTTTCAAACATTTCCTATAGAATCAAAAAAGAAATATGAAAAATGAATACTGATTGATTTTGTTAAATTAGGAGAAATGAAATTTATAATTTTTCTTGCATTGCTTTGATTAGTTAAAAAGATTTAAAAGTACAGAGTTGATTATATCGAAATATTTTGTGTGTATGAAGACTATGCTATCTAGTAGAGGGACTATACGAAGACTATATTTTTTTATAAAGCGAAATGAACCAATATGTATTAACTAAATCGATGCGCGGTGTGCTATACTGCCAGAACTATGATTTTTTGTATGATTTTTTGTAATATTAGATTGTTACACAGAGCTTACATCAATTTTTATAGAATTATATTGTAATATTGGATACTTACAAAAGTTTTCGTGTTTTTTTTCCGTTTTTTTTTTTTTTTTATCTATGATGCGTGATTATATCTAAGGATTCGGAGGATTGAGATGTAACGAAAGAGCTAAAAGACTAGAAAATCTGAAAAAATCGAGTGGAACGATAAAATAATTGAGAAATCTGTGAATCTGAATTTTTGCAGATCTCACGACTCGAAGAGTTAATGTGATCTGAACATTCAAAGACTTAAATGATCTAAAGAGAAAATCTTTTGTGTCAAAGCTATCGATTCTTTGATTTTCATTCTTTAAGTCTTTGAACTTTCACTGATCTGAAAATTCTGGAAAATCTGGTATACTAATAACGGTATAATAACTCTGGTAATTGATTTATTTAAATATTTACGGATATAATATTTCTAATAATTTTCTTTTTAAGTCATTATAATAATAAGTGAATTGTGTTGTGTTAAACTTTAATTCGTATTAACGATTGGTATTTAAAATATTAATTCGGTTAAATATTTACATTTTTAATATTGCGGAAATTTTTTAGAATCCACGGACTTAAGCAAGTCTGGATATTAAAAATTGAAATATTTAATCAAATTGAAATTTCAAATATCAATTGTTAACACGAATTAAAATATAACACACACATTTCACTTATTATCATATAACGATTTAAAGAGAAGAATTATTATTAAAAACGAGATTGAATAACAATTTCTCACAAAAGCGATGGAAACTTTTGTAAGGATCCGTAGGAATCGGTTTAATTCATATGAAGAGACTGAACGAGAGGAGGGGAGGGATGAAATTTATTTTCTCTAACAATAAGTATCTAACGAAACAATAATAGATAATTAATAATTAAAAATTATATTGAGGAAACGCGGTATTAGCTTAGCGAATAACGTTATGTTAAGTTAGAACTATATGTGTCTAGAATAGGAAAGAGAACCAATTGTAATATGCTAACAAAATCAGATAGAAAATTAAGATGTACATAAAACAATAAATATGCTAAAAAATTAAGATGTACATAGAGAGTTGTTGGTAACGGATAGAATAATAAATAAATGCGATATATATGAGATAGATAATGCGCTTACGACCAGGAAGAAACGAGTTTACCCTTAGATAAAAATTGTTAGGATAATATTTCTCTCTGCAAAGTGTCAATGTATAACATCGTTTTGAAAACGTACAGTATAGAAATAAATTTTCTTTTTTTTTATCTATAAAGAGATCGCAAAATTCACTTCGACAAGTGCGGGATCTTTCTACTGATATGAGACTATTCGCTCATTGATTGAAAATATTGACATCTTTGTTCGTTAGAGAATTGAATCTGAAACTTTTCCTTTCAGGAGATTGCTCTCAACATTAAGTTACCAGATTCTACGCATTAATATGTTTTCCTTGCTATATATTTAATAGCTTTGCATTTATATCAAATTGATGAAAGATTATATTCCAAGAAGTTTTTGTGCATGATTATTCTATACAATACATTGATATAAAGTATTTTTAAGTATTTTTTTTTTTTATAGAAGTTTGACAAAATGTGAGAGCAGCGAAAAATGTTTTCAGTAAAATTTAACGCCGGCTTGATTATTTTAACAAAATAATTTAAATATATATATATATTCAACTTGTGCCTTTGAAGTTAAATTGGGAGAAGAACTTTCGAAATTGACACGTTGAAAAAAGGAGGAGATATGCTTGAAAAGCAAGATGTTGAATCACCCTAACTGACCTGTTATTCGTATTTTTCCTTTACGCCTGTTATGTAAGCCCCATTGTGCTCCTATCGATAACTATATGTCCAATGTATCCCTCGTGTCGTCGGCGCATGAGTCGAAATACTTCGACGAGTCATTTCGAATATTAGCGGGTATATTAAATTACAGTGATCTGTCAAAATATCTGTATTAACGATGAATGTTTACGCTCGATTCTTTGTGGAATAAAGTCTGCGTATATCTGTGTATGTTCAACGAGCACGCTGGATTTGCTTTTCCCAGACAGCCCATAATATTTATAAAATATGTACAAAATATTTATAATAATTATTTGAATATTTTATAAATATTTTTGTGGTCTTAAATTTATTAAAACAGATCATAAATATTTATCATAAATATTTATTTTTTACTTATTATAATGATACAAAATATTTAGTTTATATTTTAATAATATATCAAATTTAAAGTTTTTATGATTTCTTCTCTTAATATGTATACAAAATGTATAAAATATTTATATAATATTTCAAAAAATAAATAGTAAAAAATATTTATGAATATTTATCATAAATATTGTGTGTTGTCTATAGGTCGTGAGAGGATCTTAGAAAAAAAAGAATATCTTTTATTAAAAAAATTGCTGAGAAAGTGAAATGCGTTTGACATTTACAGAGAAACACAAAGTTCCTTAATAAAGATATAAAAGAGAAAATTAAATTTAAGAAAATCAATACATTTTATATGATTTTAATATCAAGGAAAATC